TAGAGCAAAAACCTGGGCAAGAAAATGGTATTATAATACAACAGAATGTGTGCATTGGAATATTTACACATGAAATAATGACACTTGAGGTTTACTTCAAAAGAAGCCAAGGAAAAGGGGAGGATAGAGGAGAATAGCCTGGGGACACAGATGAAATAAAATCAGTGATGTACTGTAATTACTGAAGCTGAGTGATAGATACCTTGAGTTTTATTACCATATTCTTTCTATGTTTGTATACATTTGAAATTTTTCATTAGAAAACATTTTAAGAGGGGTACCTTGGTAGTGCAGTTAAATGTCTGACTCTTGACTTCAGCTCAGGTCATGATCTCAGGGTCATGAGATTAAACCCCACATCAGGCTCTGTGCTGGGCATGGAGCCTATTAAGATTCTCTCTCTCTCCCTCTGCCCTAACCCACCTCCCCTCAAAAAAAAAATTTAAAATTAAAATAACCCCCCCAAAAGAAAACATTTTAAGAAAAAAATATCCTAAGAAAGTAAAAAGTCAGGGGTGCCTGCGTAGCTCAATTGGTTAAGTGTAAGCCTTTGGCTCAGGTCATAATCCCAGAGTCCCAAGATCAAGCCCTGAATCAGGCTCCCTACTCAATGAGGAATCTGCTTCTCCCTCTGCCCCTCACCCTGCTCATGCTGTCTCTCTTTCTCAAATAAATAAATAAAATATTTTTTTAAAAAAGTAAAAAGTCAAGCTACAAATAAATAGAAGATATGTGCAACATGTGTAAGCAAGAAAGGACCGTTACCTGGAATCTATGAAGAGCCCCTATATCAGCACAAAAGAAGAAACAATATACTAGAATCATGGGCAAAAGACAAAGAGGCATTTCATAGAAGTAATATATTTGGCCAAAAAACACACAAAGACATGCTTGATAATCAAGAAAATGCAAATCAGGACAACAATGAGATGTCATTTAACAAAAACTGGAAAGTCGGACAACTCTAAGGCATACAGAAAGAACCTGGATCAAAAGGATCTCTTATGCATTGGTACAATTTGTTAAAATAATATGATACTATCCTCTAAAACTGAATTTCATGTACCTCCCCCACCAAATCAGCAATTCCATTCCTCAGAATAGGACTAAAAGAGCAGTTTAACACAGTTATATGCATGCACCAGGACACACATATAAGAACATTTCAGGCAGTGTTGTTTCTTAGAACAAGAACCCGGAGAAAATAAAATGTATAGTAACACAACAGAACTTTACACGACAGTGAAAATTACTGAACTATAGCTACATGAAACATGAATGAATCTTTAAAAGATATTACTACATGAAGAAAGTAAATCAGGTAATAGTACAGATAGCATGACTTTTTTTTTTTTACAATTGGTAAAAATGTTTAAAATTAATACTGTGTTTATGCCTCTACATGTGGAAAAAAACTGTTCTTTAAGAAGAGCAAGATAACATAAAATCAGAATCAGGTTCACCTTAGTTATGCGTAGGTCAATGGGATGGGACAAGAGAGATAAGTGTAAGTTACTGCTAATGTTCAAGTTCCCAGGTTAGATAGTGGGGCTCATGATGTTTATTATTTCTAAGAATGGATGAGGGAAGAAAACACATACAGAAAGATCTGTTAGAAGCCATGGTAGCAGTTCAGGGAGCAGATGATGGTGGCAGGCTGGGTAGTAGCTGTGGGGCTGTAGTGACATACACAGATTTGAGAGATTCAAGAGATAGAAATGACAGATCTTGGTAACTGACATGGATGTGAGGCTGAGAGAGAAGGAAGGGTGTAAGTCATTCTTACAGGTTTCAGATTTAAGGAGATGAATGCAGGGAAGGCCATGTAACAGGAAACGGAGCCCCAAGTTTAGACGCACTACAAAGAATTTCATGGTGGACACATGGTCATCTCCCTCATATCGAGTCCAATCACCCTCCACTGTGAGGCAACATGTAGTGAGGGTGAGAATTTAAACACCCTCTGCTCCAGAGACACAAATCCTGATCTGTTTGAGCTAAAATGTATAACATCTGCACAAGCATGGCCCAAATACACGTGTCTGGAAGGAGGCTCAGATACTTCTGTTTGGTGTAGAAAGAAACCGGCTCTCTCCAGCTACCTAGACTTGAAAGAGGAAGCATGGAATAGCTGACAGCAGGCATTTTTTGAAGTAGCAAAAGGATGAAGCTGAGATAAGAGGAACACAAAACCACAACCACTATGAAGAGAAGAATTGAAGCCAGAGCTCTGATGCAAGCCAGATTGAGGGCTGGCCTGCCTCTGGGCTCCTCAGTGATGTGAGCCTATATTCCTGTTACTGCAAAAGCCCATGTGAGTAGGTTTTCTACTGCTTGCAACTAGAAACACCAACCTAATACTACAGATGTCAAAGATGGAAAGGCAGTTTGTAAATCACAAGCCCTAAACAATGAAATTGGCTCAACTGATAAAGAGTAAGGGAGATTTCCTGTCCCTCATGCTGGAAGTTTTAATATCCCTGCTCTTAAAAAAAAGAAGAAACAGTTGGTCACAGCATCCTCTGTTGTACCTTCAGACCAGACCACATGACTACCAATACTGTCATACTGAGGACCCGGTAAGGAAAAAAATAAGGCTATCCAAATGTTTTGACTATTCCTCATAGCTTCTACTAATGTCCTACACAAAGATGCTTACATTACTGTTCTCTGTGTTTTTAGTTGTCAAATATAAAATATTTTAAACCCTTGGCATTAAAAAGAGTAATTCCTAATTAAATACACACTTAAAGAGAAGTCTAGATCCTATTTGTTTCTTAAATAGTTTTACAGTCTTATAATCCATTATAATGACCAGAAAACAACCTGGCCAAAAATTTGACTGTGAATTTGGAGGTGAGGTGACTTAAGGATAATTAAAGAAGTGTTGCATTCAAATTTTAACTCAGGAATCATGAAATATGAAACCTGAAAAGATTAAGTAAAGTCAGTAACTAGATATTCTGTATATCAAAAGGACTCTCCAGTCTAAGTAATAAAGAAGCCAATCAATAAAAAGACTAATATTTGAAATATTTCACAACAAAATGCTATGATTTTCACAAATAAAACCCCCATAACCAGATCCTTTCATTTTTCCAGGACATGAAAGCCAATTTCAAATTACTGAAGAGGAAATCAAGATATTATCACAAATATATATATATATATACACATATATATATACATATTTCATAAATATAAGATTTCTAGGTTAACAATGATGTGAGCATTGATTCTGATGCCCATGGCCAAAGTTTTCAACAGGATACTATGATATGAGAATTACCAAATTTACCACTGACCTACTACTGCCCTTCCTCTTCTAAACTCACTCATCTTTTTTTGTTTTTCCTAGTTCTCTGCAGTGTACTCATCTACTGATCTGTCTTCATAGGATTTATGTTTGCTTATTCTTTTCCTTTGTCTCTGTCTGGATGTGTCCAGCTGTCTGTAACTATGTACCAGAACACCTCTGCATCTTCTCCTATGGTTGGTCTTCCCATTGTCTCTTGCCATCTCTTTACTCTTCCTTCTCCTTCGTTCCTTACCCATAGTATTTAACTTATTTGACATGATTATGGAATCAAAGTTTATAATTTCTGCTTTATCATTTTTAAACAGTAACATGACTTTTATTTCTGATTTTGTAAAAATATTGTTTCTTGAATTAATCTGTGTTGCACAACCTTAATTGATTTACTCAGCGAATTAGTGTCATGATAAGGTGCTGCTTATTCACCACAAAATAACCATTTTTACTAAGGGTCTTCAAATCAAAAGAGTCATTCTTTGAACAGTATAAAATCAACCTTACGGATTCACTAATCTAAATTACTAAAAAAAAAAAAAAAAAAGGATGCCTGGGTGACTCAGCAGTTGAGTGTGTCTGCCTTTGGCTCAGGGCATGATCCCAGTTCAGGGATTCAGTCCCACATCAGACTCCCTGTGAGGAGCCTGCTTCTCCCTCTGCCTGTGTCCCTGCCTCTCTCTGTGTTTCAAATAAATAAATAAATAAATAAATCTTTAAAAAATAAAAAATAAATTACTAAAAAAACGGCATTCAAATTCTGGGACTTAGGTCTAATATATACTCTTATTTTAAAAATTCAAATTTCCCAAAATAATGTTTTATTAAATAGATAGATAACATCTTATAAAATTGGATAACATCTTATAAAATGTGAATTGAGTACCTACACTGTGATTTGACTTTGACACTTGCAGACTTTTATCATTAATTCACAGTCTTCAATATTATAAAGTGTAATGAGTAACATTTTACAAATATATAAACTGAAAGGTTTACAGAAAGAAAAAAAAAAGCAGAAAGAATTAACCCATCCAAATTGGATGACCAACATTATAGCAGAAATAAAAAACCTAAACTCTTGGTTCCTGGAATATAAACATTAACTTCCGTGGTTCCATCATTTATGATTTCTTTTCATTTTTTATAATGCTAACTTCACTCTCCATGAATACAAAAACAGGCAAATCATTTCTGTTTTAATTTGGAGTACATTTAAATAGTTTTCTTCTAGTGTTATAAAGTGTAAAAACAATGTTCTATACTGAAAAAAATTAAAATAGTATCCTAGACATAATGAGAAGAAAGTAAGAGTAGAGAGTCAAGGGGCATTTATTATTACAGAGTAAAGAAAGGTTAGCTTTAAGGTCAAATAGAATACCTCATAGTCAAATTCATAACTTAGCTATACTTCTCTGAATAGAGAACAGCTATACTACAGTACTTATAATTTTACCAAACAATATGTCTCAGTGTTGTGATTTTCCATAATTTTATAAAATTTAATATGTGACATGCCCAAGGACAGTAAGTCACACTGGCATCTAACGAGTATTTAGAAGGAATTTACATAAAATAACTTCCCTTTTAACTGTGATTCTAAGTTGACAGCCCTCAGCAAGGCAATCTGGAAGAAGGATGACTAAGGGACAAACATTCTTAAAATGAAGTAAGCATGCAAGGTACTAGCCTGTCATATGCAGCAATCATAAAGTTGAGGAGGAGGCTGATAGACTGCTCCACACTGATTTGGTGAGTAGAAGGAAGGCGCTTATTCAGCTGGTAGTAGAGAGAGGAGATGACTGTTTCGAGGCGGGACACACTGATCTCAGTGCTATGGTCCAGTGTATTAAGGCCATTGTCTCGGAAGGCTTCAATCATGTTCCAGATATCAACAAGATGGACTAAAACACAAAGAAAATAAACAGTCAACAATTTAAAAGGTTTTTTTTTATTTTTTTTTAATTTAAAAGTTTTAATTCATCAGAAAGGTCTAAGAACTTTTCATTTATTTACATCTAACACAATTCTGAAGGGTGGCAAAATAAGATCCCCAAATACAAAATATGCCACTTTAGCATAAGGATTATTTTGAGCTAAAGACACCTGAAGAACAGAAGGTGCCAAGAAGGTCATGCTAAACTCCTTTTTCTTCCTGAAAGCAGGAAATAAACTCCCAAGTGAAAGATGCCCTCCCTATTCCAAAAGGAAAGAAACATTCTTATCCCTGAAGACAGTGAACTGAGGCCAAGAGAAATCTGTACGGGTTTTGTTAAAATAACCCCTATCTTCCTTGAGACTCCCCATATATTTTAGTTATTTTCCACAATCCCTACTCCTTCTTCCCTAGTATATCAGCACTTAGGCCTTGTCCCTCCTTCGGGTCTTCACTTTGCTATGGGGGCTCCCAGGTACATGTAAAAATCTGTGTGCTCTTCTGCTAATCTACCTATGTCAATTTAACTGTCAGGCCTAACCAGAGACCTTAAGAGGGTAGAGGTAAAGTTTTGCCTCCCCTACAACAGCCTCAAAATACATATATATTGTAAAATTTAACAGAACATCAGAGACAAATTCACAAGCTTAGTGGGAAGTATTAAGTATTAATACATTTCTCTCAGTATGTGGTAGAGCAAACATACAAGCATAAATACAGATGTAGACAATCAAACTTCACAACTGGCAAAGTAGGCATAATGGGCACAATATGAAATCCTGCCCCTAGTGTTTAGAGAATATACTCTATTTTCAAGACCACAAACATCATGTATGAAAATTGACCTTATCCTGAGTCATAAAGCTAATCTTGGCAAATTTCAAAGGATTCAAGTCATTTCAAACATGCTCTCTGATCAAAATAAAATTAAGTTACCAATTATCAAAAAGACCACATTCAAAAATGAAAAAACACAGTACTAGGCAATGTCCTTAATCTGATTAAAGATATTTACAGAAAACTACAGCAAACATATTACTTAATAGTAAATGTTGAAAGCCTTTCCTCTGATATTGTGAATGCCCACTATCGAAAAAAAAAAAAAAAGAAATGCCCACTATCGAATATAAATTGGTACTGTAACTATGGAAAACACGAAGGAGGTTCCTCAAAAAATTAAAAATAAAAATACCACATGAATCAGTAATTCCATTACTGGGTATTTGCCCAAAGAAAATGACACTAATTTGAAAAGATACATGCATCTCTTTGTTTACTGCATCATTATTTACATTAGTCATTATACAGTAACAACCCAAGCATCCACTGATGGATGAATAAACAAAAAGGATGTGGTATACATATAGAATGGAAGATTATTCAGCCATATAAAATGAATGAGATTTTACCATTTGTAACAACATGGATGGACATAAAGGGTATCACACTAAGTGAAATAAGTCACACAGAGAAAGACAAATACCATATGATTTCATTTATATGTGGAATATAGAAAACAAAAGAACACATAAACAAAAAACCAGAAACAGGCCCCTAAATACAAAGAACTGGTCATTGCCAGAGGGAGGGGGTAGGGGGATGGACAGAATGGGTGAAGGGGAATGAGATACAAGCTTCTAGTTATGGAATGAATAAGTCATGAGAATAAAAAGAAAAGCATAGGGAATACAGTCAATGGTACTGTAATAGCATTGTATGGTGACAGATGGCAGCTACATTTGCAGTAGACATAGCTAACACACAGAGTTGTAGAATCACTATGTTGTATATGTGAAACAAATGTAACATTGTGTATCAACTATACTTCAATTAAAAAAAAAAAGAAATGGGGCATCTGTATGGCTCAGTTGGTTAAGCATTCAACTGTTGATTTTAGCTCAGGTCATGATCTCAGGGTCCTGCTGGGCTCCATGCTCAGCAGGGAGTCTACTTGAGTTTTTCTCTGCCTCCCTCTGCCCCTCCCCTTGCTCACACAACCACATTCTCTTTCTCTCTAAAATAAATAAATCTTAAAAAAAGAAATGCTCACTATTATCATTTCTATTGTACTTTGGGTCCTAACCAATATAAATAAGCAGTAATTACCCATGTGAATTTCAGAAATGAAGAAATATAGCTGTCATTATTCAGAAATGACAAAATTCTACACATAGAAAATCCGATTCACTAGATAAATTACTATAACTGATATTTGAGTCTAGAATTATTGCTATATATAAGACATAAAAATTACTATATTTCTATTAGCAACAGAAAATGAAATTTTAAAATATTATTTATAATAGCATAAATTATCAAAGATTTAGGAACAAATCCAATGGAAGAACTGTAATGTCTCTATGAAAAAAATAAATCTATAAATATCAATTCTCCCCAACTTAACCTATAGATTCAGTGCAGTCCCAACAAAATGCCACAGGGCTGTATGTTAAAAGGATAAATTTTACTATATATAAATTATACCTTAAAAAAAGAAATAAAGATGGAAAAATCCTAGCAGAGTTCTTTGTTTCATTTTGTTTGTTCTTAGTAGAAATTGATAATCAGATTCTAAAATTTATATGAAAAAAATAAAATAAAGTTTATATGAAAATAAATGTAAAAGGCCAAAAATGTCCCAATCTTAAAAAGAAAAACAACAAAGTAGACAGACTTGCTCTATCTGATGTTAAGATTTACTACAAAAGGAGGTGCCTGGGTGGCTCAGTTAAGTGTCCAACTCTTGATATTGTATCAGCTCAGGCCATTATCTCTGGGTCAGAATCGAGCCCTGAGTTGGGCTGCCTGCTTAGCATGGAGCTTAAGATTGTCTCTCTCCCTCTCCTCTGCCCTAACCCCCACCCCAAACTCTCACTCTCTCTCAAATAAATGAATAAATCTTTTAAAAAAAGACTTTTTATAAAGCTATAATAGTGGTTATTGATAGGACAAACAGACCAATGGAACACAGAGTCCAAAAGCAGTTCTCATACATGGAAACTGCTACGAACATTTTTACATATTTCTCCTAATGAGTATGAGGAAAGATTTTTGGGCAGTGAAGAAAAAAGGATGGCCTTTTCAATAAACAGTATAGGGACAACAGAACATACACGTGGACAAAACTAAAATTTTACTCCTAAACTGTACACCCACAAACAAAAAAATTCAAGGCTGATTAAAAAGAATCATATGTGACAAAATAAAACTTCTAGGACAATGCATCTTTTACTATACATTACTAATGCCAATAGCCTGGGTTCAGACTCTCAACACTCCACACACAGACTGCTGGTTCCCAAGAATAATTACAGGAATAATTATTAAAATTGTAGTTGTCAATTATTAAAATTGACAGTGGTTTACCACAACCCACAGAAATATTTTTAAATCAACACACACACACACTCTTCTAGATATATAAAAAAAAAAAGTATCACAAAATACTTTTAACCTTATCACATGATTTGTGTTCTGATTTTTTTTTTTCCTTCTCTTTTTTTCTCTATTACATGTTTTAAATTCTGGCTACAGCTCATCAAAATGATTTCATGAACCATTAATGGGTTACAACCCATAATTTGAAAAACAATGCTTTAGGAAACCAGAGACTTCAGTCCAGCATGACATGGTAAACTCTCTAAAGAGAATTTCATGCAAGGATTTTTGAGTAACACTTAAAGTAGGGTTGAAGTATTTAGATATTAAAGTGACTTACCCAACATCACATGCTTAGAGTAAATGTCAAAACCAGGACTAAAACTAAGATTTTTCCAATTCAAAAGCCAATGTTCTTTCCATTACACAAAATAGTTTTTCAGGGCAGCCCCGGTGGCGCAGCGGTTTAGCGCCGCCTGCAGCCCGGGGTTTGATCCTGGGGACCCTGAATCGAGTCCCACATCAGGCTCTCTGCATGGAGCCTGCTTCTCCCTCTGCCTGTGCCTCTGCCTCTCTCTCTCTCTGTGTCTCTATGAATAAATAAATAAAATCTTCAAAAAAAAAAAGTTTTTCATTAATACACATACACACACACAAGAAAAATACAATAATTCTGTCATAAGTTAATCTTCATGGAAATTAAGAGAGGAAGATTTTATATGCCTGTGTGCATGTGTATGCGTATACATACATACACATATGTTTCATTTACTTATAAGTAGCAATTCTCATAGTGATTACTTATAAAAAAAAGGCTGATTTGTGTTGTATTCACTTTAATCAAGAAAATTAACTTACTACACTTCCATCAAAATACTAATGTTTTTCTTTTCTTCTAGAAGCTGATTATCATACTCATTTTGTATATTTTTTAAACATACAAAGGTGAGAAGGAGAAATCAATTCTCTCATTTAAAGAACATTCATACTATGCCACACTCAAAACCAGTTACATTATTGTATTTGGGCAAACATTTTGAAGGACACACAGAGTAAAATGAGTTCTTTCCGTGACTAATTTTTACATTTTAATAAACACTTAGGACAAAAAAAAATTTAATTAACATTACAATATGACTAAAAGATACTAAAACCTTTTAGTTTTGAGAGCACTATCCAGCTATCACAGAAATTAGCTGAAATGACTTACGGTTGCATCGTTTTTGTACAAATCGTAATTTGCAAGCTGTTCTATAAGTTGATAGCCGTATGACATCAAAATTCTGAGCACCTGAAAAAAGTACAAACAAGATGTTCAGCTGGATTTACCACGGTATTTCTAAATGCTGGGAAGTGACTCTTTTCCACAGCATGTACGCAGGCTATATCTAACATGTCAACTAGGTCTTCTTCTGAGAAAACAAAAGGGATAAGGAAAGGTTAGTAGTGCCCACTCAGTGCTCAGGACCATGTTAGCAGTTTTGCCTACATTATCCTGTCTGCCAGCCTAACAAAAATCTAAGGGAGAACATTCATAACTTCAGCGAATCTTCCCTTTTATACTACTTCTGTGGGAAATATGAGGAAAACTAATGTGAGCAGCTGGGAAAGGAAAGTCCTATCCCCATCAACTAAACAGAAAGAGTACTAAATCTGATGGATCAGACTACAGGACAGTTATCAGGCCTTGTCTGCTCATGGAGAAGCTATAGGAAAAACTCAGTGCACGTGGTATGTAACTCACTCTCTTCAGATGCTTTCTCCGGTAAAGCCAGATCTAGGTACTGCATAATGAAACAGGGTAAATATCACAAATGTCCAAAGTGAACCAGTTGAAGAAAACGGGAAATTCTGCAAGCTCCAGCCCAGTTTGCCAGAAATCTCCACTTTAAGGTTTTAGGTGCTAGTCAAGATCCAAGTATCACTCTGTTTTCCTTTGTCATTTTTTTCCCTATGAAAATACATCCCTCTAAACCCAGTGGGAGGGATGCCTGGGTAGCTCAGTGTTTGAGCGTCTGCCTTCGGCTCAGGTCATGATCCCAGGGTCCTGGGTTCGAGTCCCACATCGGGCCCCCCATGGGGAGCCTGCTTCTCCCTCTGCCTATGTCTCTGCCCCTCTCTCTGTCTCTCATGAATAAATTAATAAAATATTTTTTAAAATTAAAAAAATAATAATATAACCCAGTGGGAAAAGGCAGAAATAAGAATGGGATGGCACAGGATTCAGAAATTTTAGGGAATCCTGGCCATAATATCATTTTAAAAGTCTAATAGTAGTCCAAATCCCAAAACAAGGGCCACTGGGTGGCTCATGGTTGAGCATCTGCCTCTGGCTCAGGGCATGATCCCGGGGTCCTGGGATCAAGTCCTGTGTTGGACTCCTGGCAAGGAGCCTGCTTCTCCCTCTGCCTATGTCCTGCTTCTCTGTGTCTCTCATGAATAAATAAATAAAATCTTTTTAAAAATACAAAATAATTTCTACAAGATGATATAATAAATAGCTGTAGAACTTTATTAAAATCTTAATGTACCAATATTCAACCACTCAGGTTCCCAAACTTCTCATACATTTACCTTCTTCTGAAGCAGTCATCTTTCCTGGTTTCTATAAGGAAAATCCTCATACTGCTCTAAAAATAGCCTTTACTTTTTAAAAATTTCCCTTATGTAAGTGTCATGTTGATTTCCTGATCAGAAAATATGGTAATTTGGCACATAAAAAATAGAACAGAAAGCCCCAGTGAAGAAACTAAAATGATTATATTATCCCTTTGGGTATTGTGAACTAGAAAAGATTACTCTTCATTTTCACTCCTTTTGAGAATATTTCATTATAAGAAATACACTAATTTCAGACAGTATATTTCAAGCTCATCAAGATATGGCACAAAGGGTCCTAACCAAACACACAGGCAGAACTCTAGCCAAAGGTAGAGAGCCCAGGGAACCTCCTGGACAGAGAGGAGACCATCTAAAACCACTGAGTACCCAAGAAATATAGGGAAAGGCTAAGAAAGGATTAATCCTTCTTTCTATATTATACTTCTCATTCATGAGACTAGGATATCAACCTCTATAGTATAACAGAATCCCAAGGAAAGCAAAGAATCAAATAGAAGGGTTATATTATATCTGCTTGTATCACAAGCTTGTATCAGAGTCTTGGAGAGGAACCTGGAGACTTCATTCTAGAGAGTCCTATAATCAAGCTAGGTTTGGGAAACACATAACTATCCAACTCAGCTAAAAGGTCTGGCTCATGCAACTCTCAAATTTTACCTCACACCCAACTCCAATCAGTATGGGTTACATATAATTACCCAAACATGCCAAGCCCTCTCATCTGAGCCTTTGTAAGTGCTACTTACTGCTCCAGCCCTTTCTTCATCACATCACTGAACTGATTGAACCTAGACATTGCTTCCTTCCAGATGCCTTCCTGGACCACCCTCCACCCAGTGCTTTCCCAATCATGGCTCCTCCCACCCTATCATTTCTTATTTCCATTTTCAGGAAAATAAGTGTTTCATGAAGGCAGAGATTATTTTATTACTGTGTTGTTGTTCACTATTATATGCCCAAAACTAGGACATCATAAAAATAGCACCTGAAATATTTACTGAATGAATAAGTAACTGAAAATCAGAAAGTTCTTTATTGGTATAAAAGACTAATCTGCTTTCCCCAAAAAATATAGCAAATAAAGTAAAAATATTACATAAACTATATAATTTTGGAAAAGCTGATACAAGGAGATGATAAAAGTAGTGGGGAAACCAACTCCTTTCCCTGTATAAACACATTGAAGCATGCAACCTTCTTCAGATAGAGCACAGGATCCCAAACTGCATTCTAGGGGCTAGAGGATTCGGTGGAGATGCTCAGCACACCCAGAGAAGGTGTAAAGAAATAAGTGTATTTTGTTAAAAAGGATCTAACTAATACATGAGGAGGAGAGAAGGAGAAAGAGAAGACAAACCTAGTAAATTTAAGGATAGTAACATTTCTGAGTTGTCTGAAACTCCTACAAACCTTTTTTTTTTTTTTAAGATTTTATTTGAGAGAGACAAAGATAGTGACCGAGATAGGACAAGTGGGGAGGAGAGGGAGCAGCAGGCTCCCCACTGAGCAGGGAGCCCTATGTGGGACTCGATCCCAAAACTGTGGGATCATGACCCGAGCTGAAAGCAGACTCAACTGACTAAACCACTCAGGCACCCTGGAACACTTACAGTCACTTTTAATAAGCAAAACTTTTCAAGAGTATAGGAGTCTGAATAAGTAACAGATATAAACACAAATGACTTCCTTATTTTTTTTCTTGGCACTGTAATTAGAAACCCTGGGGATCAGAGATGAAGCCAGAGGTCCCAACAGAAAGGAAGGTACAGACCACAGAATGGTGACTCTCTCAGTGGGTAAGCTAGAGAAAAAAAAGAAAAAAAAAATCCCACAAAGGGAAATGTTAGGGACACATGACTGGCTCCACCAGATTTAGATTAAAATTTTCAAAGCAAGCAAAAAAGTGATAATCAAAGAGGTTAGACAAAAGAAAACTGATCATACTAAAGAATAAAGTCTAATTTGTGGTGTTAAAAAAATAATTCTAAAAATAGCATATATCTCATAAAGGGATACTCTTACTTCGAATAAAGTTATGAGTATTGATAAGCTCTGGATTTCATTTTAATTGATGTTAGAATTTCTAGGGTAACCACAAAAAAATAGAAAAAGAATATACACAACCAAGAAGAGGGAAAAGTGGGATGGAAGGATGGAAAAAGAATACTCACAACCAAGAAGAGGGAAAAGTGGGATGGAAGGAAGGAAGCTCAATTCATCTAAGGAAGGCAAGAAATGAAGGAAAAAAAAAACAGAGAAAGGACACAGCTGATGCACAAAACAAGATGGAAGAAAAAATTAAATATATCAATATTCATAAAAAATATTCATAAAAAAATTAAACAGGATAAATTCTTCAGTGAAAAAACAAAGATTGTCGGTCACAATGGTTGTTGTTAAATAATCTACCTTATGCTGTTTACAGGAGATACACATAAAACATAAGGACATGGGAGCACCTGGGTGGCTCAGTCAGTTGAGCATTCAACTCTTGATTTTGGCTCAGGTCATGATCTTAGGGTCCTGGGATCAAGCCTCATGTCAGGATCCAGACTCAGTATGGAATCTGTTTAGGATTCCTTCTCTTCCTCTCCCTCTGCCCCTACATCCCCTCCTCTAAAATAAATAAATGAATCATTTAAAAAAACATAAGGACACAAGTTTTTAAAAGAAAGAAAAGATACTGTTTTAAGGCGTGCTAACCAAAGAAAACTGATACAGCTATATATTTTTTTAAAGATTTTATTTATTTATTCATAGACACAGAGAGAGAAGCAGAGACACAGGCAGAGGGAGAAGCAGGCTCCATGCAGGGAGCCCGACGTGGGACTCGATCCCGGGTCTCCAGGATCACACCCCAGGCTGCAGGCGGCGCCAAACCGCTGCACCACCGGGGCTGCCCTGATACAGCTATATTAATAACAACAAAATAGACCTCACAGCAAAAAGCATTAGTAGAAAAAGAGGGTACCTATATAATGACAAAACAGTCAATTTCCTAGGTAGATGTAATACTTTAATGCATGTGCATCTATGGACAAAAGCTGCAAATCACAGACAAAACTAAGGGATAAAAAATTAAAATCCATGATCATAGCAGAGGTTTTTTAACAGCTTTCACTAATTAAGTGGTCAACTTTTTGTCAGAAAGGACAAAAAAGGTCTGAATAAAACATGTAACAAGCTAAACCTAAATAACAAAATCATACGCATATTTTCAAGCACACATGGAACATTTACAGAAACATAAAAAATATCACCAAAGATTCTAGAACATCCTTCATTCCTTGACCCATATCCCAATTAAACTAAATATTTTTTAATTAAGTCACTGATTTGCAAATTTAAAAGAGTACTTCTAAATAATTCCTAAGAGAAATTAGAAAACACAGAGAAGTAATCATGAAAATGGCATATATTGGAACACATGGAAGGCAAAAATAGAAAATCACAGGAAAGAAGTTTTTAAGTGCTTACATAAGAGAGGAAAAAAGTCTGAAAATAAATGGCCCAAGTAACCCAACATAAGAAGTTAGGGGAAAAAAACAAGAGAATTGCCTGAAGTGTAGAAGAAAGTAATAAACACAATGGCACAAAATAATGAGGCAGAAACAAAGATATATGGAGAAGACCAACAAAGCCAAAGTTCCTTGAAAAGGCCAATGAAACTGACAAAACTTTGGAAAAGGAAAAATAAAATCAGAATCTCTGAGCAGGGAGGCCTGGCATCAAGCATTTTATAGATGGAACTATACTTTAGCACCAGAGTTAAGAACTACTATTCTCACTTACCACCTTTCATTTTTCTTAGTAATTTTGTATCATGTCAGAATCGTAAACTAACAAATATTTCCATGTAATTTACTCCACTCTTCTTTCAATAAATATCTATCGAGCTACTGAGGTCACCAAGATAAATAGATGTGATCCTTATTCTCATGGCACTTAGAGTCTAACCAGAGAAAATATTAAGCAAAGAAAGAATAGTAGGGAATTTAAAGGTATGGTCTAAAAACAGAAAGGCTTAAGAGTATTATAGAAAGGAGTAATAATAAGGGTCATCCAACATTGGAAAATACAACCTAACTAAATTATTAAATTATTAGGACTGCTTTCAAGCTATACGGCAAAGTTGAGTCACTCTGACAGAGAACTCATCATATGGTGTGCAAATCCTAAAATATTTACTTTCTGACCATTTAAGGAAAGATTGCTAGCCCAGTATTATATTTACAGAGTAAAGAAGAAATATATTCATCTCAAGAGAAGCAGAAAACATCTGATAAAATTCGATACTCATTCATGATTCTCGAATCAGAAGTCTGCTTCTCCCTCTCCCTCTGCTCCTCCCCTGACCCCCACTTGTGTGCTCTCTCTCTCTCTCTGGCTCTCTCTCTCAAATAAATAAATAAAATCTTTAAAAATATGTACATACAGTCCCAAAGAATGTACACATTAAGAATGAACCCTCATGTAAACTACGAATTTTGGGTGTTAACAATTTGTCAACAGAGGCCTATCATTTGTAGTGAGTATACCTTCCGGTGGGGAGTAAAGGAGGAAACTAAGCACGTATCCTATGGGAACTTACCTGCCTCTCAGTTTTACTGTGAACTTAAAACTGCTCTAAAAAAGTGACGTCTTAAAAAAAAAAAAAAAAAAAAAAGATGGATATACCTACATAAGTAAAAATCTATTAAATACCCACTAATGAAAGAGAGGAGAAAGATCAGTGGATTCAAAATTAACATAAAATCAACCCAAAACCTAGACAGTAGAATCATATGATAAGGCTGGCAAAAGATGATTTTTACATCTATAGAAGGCACTAATGGAGATTTGGCAGGATATTGGAAAGGAGAGAGTAGGGCTTTTAGCAGCAGATACCACTGTTACCAATGCAATTCTTCCCATGAAAAAAGAGGGGAGACAAGAAGCTATATTTACCAAACATCTCCAAAACTGTCCATATACTTGAGTTTGTTACAGAGAAAGGCAATTTGAGGTTTATGTGTCAAAATGATAACATTTACCAAGCAGCAAACCCAATTCTTCACAGAATACACTATATCTACTCCAAATATCTATCTTAGTTGTGCTCTCTTGCATGCTCGTGTTTATTTACTGAAGGCATCCCAGGCACTTGTTAGTATCCGGAATTATTATTTATTTGCTTTCCTCATTTTGTCCATTTCTCCTTCTCAAAATGTGAGCAATTTGAGAGAAGTCAGGGACTATGTTCAGTTCTCCCCTTATCCCCAGCACCTAGAACAGTGCCTGGAACATAATAGACCCTCAATAAATGTGTTAAAAATTAAATGGAAAAGATGACCCCTTTGAACATAAGCAGGAACAACAAGAGAGATGAAAGTGGGCCCAATGGCATGAGTAGGGTCACAAAGACACCAAATGCATGATCCATTTGGGAGATGGCACATACAGTGTGTGATGGGAACCGGGAACCTGTGAACTAAGGACAAAAGAGGCCAGAAGAGCCTTGCCTGGCATGCCCAGGAGCTTGGGCTTTCTTGGGAGAGTGATGAGGAGCAACTGAGAGGATCTAAGAAGGAAGTAACACAGATTTATACAGTTCAGCTGGCAGCATCAGAGATCACAGATTTGAAATGGTTGACCCTGAAAGAAAAGATCTGAAACAGATTGCTTTAGTTTAGAAAAGTAATGATGATAAAAATATTAAACACAACTAACCACATAAAATACCTACTATTCTGTGTCAAGCACTGTGCTATGTGCCTAAGTGACAGTATCTCATTTAATCTTCACAATAATTCTATGAAGTAGATACTATTCTTGTTTTATGGACAAGGAAACTATAGCACAGAGATGAAGTAAAGTCACCTAAGGTTATACAGCCAGGACCTAAACACAGGCAGTCTGATGGCAGAGCCTGGATTCAGTGCCACTACAGTATGAGGAACAGACCACTCAAGACTCCCGTATGAGATTAAACTCAGCTGCGTTTTGCAACTTTGGAGGCAGAAGGTGAGGTGGAGGGAAGTGACTGCAAGGTGTCTGACCTGGATGACTAGCAACTGGAGACCCAGAACTACAGAACTCAAAGACTGCCCGACTGACTGCCCACCCAATGCCAAAAATTTCTTCTCTGACATCTTCAACAAATATTTACCTAGTTTATGCTTGACAGGACAACATAGATCTGAGTTGAGTCAAAATCTGCCTCCTTTTACTAAGACTCCAAAGATTTTAAATACCTTGATTTTTATCTACTGATTTTTTGAGACTTTATCTGTCGATTTTTACTCTGTGATATGCAGAACTCTAGATTTCTACCATTTTCTCAGGGGCTATCTCAGGCAGGGCTCCTGTCTTCCCTCTCTAACCAAGCAGTACCAATTTTATGACACATGTTGAGGGTCTTTGTAAGATCCCACTTTTTAGGGGATCCCTGGGTGGCGCAGCGGTTTAGCGCCTGCCTTTGGCCCAGGGCGCGATCCTGGAGACCCGGGATCGAATCCCACGTCGGGCTCCCGGTGCATGGAGCCTGCTTCTCCTCCCTCTGCCTGTGTCTCTGCCTCTCTCTCTGTGACTATCATAAATAAAAAAAAAAAAAAAAAAAAAATTTAAAAAAAAAAGAATGTGATCTTTATTAAAAAAAAAAAAAAAAATCCCACTTTTTAAAAAGAGTACAATGCTTTTAAAGGATATCACAATCACTGGTACAGACCAATAACTCTAATTCATGGCAAAGGAATTTGTGATCCACCAAATGTGAGTGCACTGGTCAAGGCCACACAGTCCAGGCCACATAGATAAGTAATCGCAGACCAACATAGTCATTCAAATACTGGGAACTATTCCATTCCTCTCAGCTATCTTTCTCTTTGTTCAAGTTTTATAGAAGAATATAATTTTTTAACAGAAGATTTAAAATTATATCACAAAGTAATATACCAAGCCATATATATTTGTGCTTTTTTAATTATTCCTATAGCTTTAAATGTTGCCCTAACACTCAGTTCTCTATATCTTAGAATCTGTATCTAGTATAAGGTATCTTATATAATGTATTAATTATTTATCACCACCTGCAACCTCATGGTAACAATGGAGTTACAGTAAGAGATCTAAACTGACTGGTGTACCTTAGGGCACCTGGCTGGCTCAGTTGGCAGAGCATGCAACTCTTGATCTCAGGATTATAATTTGAGTCCATGTTACTTGTAGAGATTTCCTTAAAATAAATCTTAAACTCCCAGATGTTTTAGGTAATATTTCTGCTTTAGTATTTATGATCTTGCTGAAGAAAGCAATTCAAGTCAACTCAATTACAATATATGCTCTGGCTTGAGGTCCTTCAACTCTATGATTCAACTCCCTTTCCTCCCTTCCTAGAGCTTGGAACATGCTAATGCTTGGGGTGCCTGGGTGGCTCAATCAGTTAAGCACCCAACTCCTGATTTTAGCTCAAGTCATGATCTCAGAGTCGTGAAATAGAGCCCAAGTCAGGATCCATGCTCAGCAGAGAGTCAGCGTAAGATTCTCTCCCACTCCCTCTCCCTCTGCCCCTCACTCTGCTTGTACTCTCTCTGTCTCTGACATAAATAAATATTAAAAAAAAAAAAAAAGGAACATGCTAATGCTTAAAGCTGTGACTTGATCAGGAAAAAGAAAAAAAGGCGTCCCCACACATACAAACAAGGAACCAAGGAATCCAGAAGCACTCAAGACTCACGCATTTCTATGAACAGCTGCCTCTTCTCTGCCATGGTCTTCCGCTTGTTCCCACTTTCCTCAATCATTCTAGAAACAAAGAAAGATAAATCAAACCACTGTAATTTAACAATTCAACCAACTGCTTATCATTCTGTTATGAAGAAATACAAGAAACCACGCTATATATGCACATTTAAGAGAGTATCAGAAAAATAAACTGGAAGCCTGATATAGAAAAAGACAAACCACTGTACTTTTATTTATATGATAGGTTTCAAAATACTACAAAGTCAATAATTAACTGAGCTCATACACTTGGTTCCTGTGCTGAAAATATGGGGCTATGTCTTATTTCTAACTTTATTTTCTGGGATCCCTGGGTGGCACAGCGGTTTGGCGCCTGCCTTTGGCCCAGGGCACGATCCTGGAGACCTGGGATCGAATCCCACATCGGGCTTCCGGTGCATGGAGCCTGCTTCTCCCTCTGCCTGTGTCTCTGCCTCCCTCTCTCTCTGTGACTATCATAAATAAATAAAAATTAAAAAAAAAAAACCTTTAACTTTATTTTCTCTGCAGAGTCCTGGCTTAGTTGGGACACAGTTTCCTATATCCCTACTGTTTTACATAGATAAACATGTTACTAAATATAATTTAGAAAATAATTATAATGAAAGGTTAAAAAAAAAGAAAGGTTAAATTAAAGAACATAACAGTTACTAGCTTATATATAAAAGATATGGGCAGCCTGGGTGGCTCAGCGGTTTAGCGCCACCTTTGGCCCAGGGTGTGATCCTGGAGACGGGGGAAGGAGTCCCATGTGGGACTCCCTGCATGGAGCCTACTTCTCCCTCTGCTTGTCTCTCTCTCTCTCTCTCTCTGTCTCATGAATAAATAAAATCTTAAAAAAAGATATAAATAAAATTTTCTGTTTTCTTATTAAACAATATTGAACAAAAAGGTATTCATCCCCAAATTCAAAGAACTCCTGAAGGTAAATTTTTTATCAATATGGTAATAGTTTGGGTTGACAGTCACAGACTATGTCAGTCACTCTGTTAAAACTCTTTCCATGTATTAGTTCATTTAATTCTTCCAACAACCCTAGATACTGGTATCATTACTACCCCCATTTCGTAGATTAGCAAACAAGCTAGAAAACACTAACTTGCTTCAGGGCACAACTCTGAAGTGGTAGAGTAAAATTCCACCCTTTCATTAAACTTCTTACATAATTGTTGCTTTTAGATGCATACTGCCAAATCTCCACACCTAAAAAGCTAGAAAACAAATGCCCCATTACACAGACCCTACTGATGCAAAATCTGTGATAATCTCAGTTGAATTTTGCCTTATTCTATGAAGAAAAAAATTCTAGACAAAGAACATAAGATAAATAATTTCCCTAAGCAGATTAAATTATCGTAAATCATGGAGTGATTTATATAGCACAGTCTCAATAATATTAGAATCACAAATTAAATGAGGAATACACAAATTACACATCCATTAAAACAAGGTACCTGGCAAAAGTTTAGTTATAAGTATATCCTTTTGTTTTGTTTTGTTTTTTAGTTATAAGTATATCCTAAAGAAAATTTAAATGTAAATACATTCCTTAACATTCTACAATGACTATTTTGATAATTAAGACTGACTTTTTCCTAAGTCATTGATATATTACTAAGTAGGCTTCAACATACATAATGGTTACTTAACAATTTACCAAGAGGAAAAAATTTTAAACAGGAAGAAAGCCAAAAGAAAAACCAACTAGAAACAGCAAAAATTTAATGAAATCTAGGTCCTAGATCAAAAAAACAAGAGTTGGTATCAGGAGCCTGTAATTACAAAGAAATTAAGATATTTAAGTTTACTGCCTCCTCCCCAATCTTGGTCTCTCACTAAGTAATACAAATTGCAAAATGCTAACCACAAATTAAAAGATATTATCATAATATCCTTTATAACATATCTCATTTATTATATCCTTTCTTCTACTTTTTGTCTACATCACTGCTATTTCTCTACATCACTTTTTTCAAAGTAGGTTCTAAGAATTCCTGGAGCTAAGTTCTTTATGAAAATTTTCTAAATTTTGTCTTTCTTTTCAAATTAATCTTGTAAAATTAATATTCTGGATCATCAGGTTATCCACCAAACTATAATGATAAAACAAAAATATCAACATTATCTAAAATGTAAAGAAGACCCAAAGTCTTAAAATGTTCAGTATGTCAAGGAAACAATACAAAATTATTTGGCAAACAAGAAAATCTTTAACTCACAAGGGAAAGGACAATCGACAGATGCCAGTAACCTGATGAAACAGATTGTGGAATAACCTGACAGAGATTTTTTTTTTAAGATTTTATTTATTTATTCATGAGAGACACACAGAGAGGCACAGACACAGGCAAAGGGAGAAGCAGGCTCCCCACAGGCAGCCCAACGTGGAACTCAATCCCAGGACCCCAGGATCACAACCCAAGCGGAAGCCAGACACTCAACCACTGAGCCACCAAGGCACCCTTGACAGAGACTTTAAAGCAGTGATTATAAAAATGCTCATATTAGCAATCACAAACACTCCTGAAACAAGAGTTGAAATCTTAAGTGTCAGCAGAGAAACAAAAGATATGAAATGAACCAAATGGAAATATTAGAACTGAAATTATACACTCATTAGGGGAGGTAGGGGACTGACTGGATGGACTCAAAGGTAGAATGGAGATGACAGAGGAAAGAATCAGTAAACTTTAAGATAGATCAAACAGAAATTATCCGATCTGAACAGAAAAAAAAAAGAGAGATTTCTTTTTTTTTTTTTTTTTAAGGAACAAAACCTCAGGGACTTGGTGGACAAAAACAAAAGATCCAACATTCATCATGTGCTCAGAATCCCAAAGGGAGAAAAGAAATGTGGTGATGTGGTGCTACACAATTCATGAAGACATAATAGGTGAGAACTTACCAAGTTCAGTGAAAGACATACCTACAAATTCAAGAAACTGAGCAAAGAAACTCATGATAATAGTTATATCATGATCAAATTGCTGAAAGATAAAGAAAAATTCTTGAAAGAAATCAGAGTAAAAGAACATTTTACTCATAGGATAGGGATCAGCCAGTTTTTTCTTAAAGAGCCAAATAGTAAATATTTTAGGTTTACCAACCATGTGGTCTCTGTCACAACTACTCACCATTGCCACTGCAGCATGAAAACAGCCACAAACTATATATAGACAAGTAGGTATGGCTTTGTTGAAATTTTATTTTGAAAACAAACAAGCAGTCAACTGACAGAACATAACCCACCAACTCCTGTTTGAGAGGAACCATGATATGAATTACTGCAGATTTCTCATGAGAAACTATGGAAGTCAGAAGATGGTAGAGCAAAGCTTTTAATTTTATATTAAAAGGATATTATCCTTTAGAAATTGAAGAAAACTAAGAGAATTTGTAGCCAGTAAACATGCTCTAAAATAATTGCTAAAGAAAGTTCTTCAGAAAGGAAAAATAATTACAAAATATTACAAATGAAGAACAATGGAATGGCAATGGAAAAGGTGTTAGAAGAAATAACACCAATCTCACATAATTGCTACAAGAAAATACAAAAGATCATCTTCCTATTCATTTTGAAAAGTCACTAATATCCTAATATCCAAAACAGACAAGGACAGTACAAAAACAAATGTCTTTCATGACCACAGACAGAAAAATCCTCAACAAAATATTATAAATTGAATCAAGCAATATATAAAAACCTCGGAAGCAGTGGGAGTTTATCCCAGGCCAGTTCAACATTTGAAAATTAATCAATATAATCCAACATATTAACGATCCAATGGAAAAAAACCACATTTATATCAGATGCAAACAGAGCACCTGACAAAATACAATGTCCCTTCCTGATGATAAAGTCTCTACAAGCTAGAAAAAAACCCTTTTCTCCACCTGATACAGGGCATCTACAGAAAATTTATAGCTAAGGTCACACTTAATGGTAGAAAACTATATGCTTTCCCCCTGAGATTGGGACCAAGACAAGGATGCCCATTCTTAGCACTTCTATTAAACATTATACAGCATGTCTCAGCCACTGAAATAAAACAAAAAATAAAAGGAAAACAGATTGGAAAGGAAGATATAAAATTGTCCCTACTTGCAGACAGCATGATTATCTTTGTAGAAACTGCAAATTCTAGGAGCCAAAAAAAAGGTCCTAAAACTAAAATGTGAGTCTAACACTGTTACAGGACACAAGGTCAAAACACAAAAGTCAACCACAGTTCTGTTTACTAACACCGCACAATTAGAAACTGAATACTTAGGAAACAGCATTTACAATATCTCTAATAAAAATGAGATGCTTAGGTATACACTAACAAAGTATATATAGGATCTATATACTGGAACTACCCAACAGTGATGAAATTTTTAAAAGACTTAAACAAACAGAAAGACATACCATCTACCCAGTCTACTCAAAATTCCAGCAGAAATTTTTGTAAATATAGACAATTCTAAATTTTATATGAATAGGCAAAAGGAATAGACAAGACACTTTTGTTTGTTTGTTTTTAAATATTTTATTTATTTATTCATGAGACACACAGAGGAGGGGGGGCAGGCAGAGACACAGGCAGAGGGAGAAGCAGGCTCCATGCAGGGAGCCCAATGTGGGACCCGATCCCAGATCTCCAGGATCAGGCCTGGACTGAAGGCAGCGCTAAACCACTGAGCCACCTGGGCTGCCCGAAAAGACACTTTTGAAAAGGAAAAATAAAGTTGCAGGATTATGGTACTCAATTTGAAGAATTACTCTAAAGCCACAGTCATCAAGACAGTACAATACTGGAAAAGGCCATTTGATTTTTTTTTTAAAGATTTTATTTATTTATTCATGAAAGACACAGAGAGAGAGGCAGAGACACAGGCAGAGGGATAAGCAGGCTCGAGGCAGGGAGCCTGATGTGGGACTCGATCCTAACACGGAGGATCACGCCCTGATCCAGGGCAAGTGCTCAACTGCTGAGCCACCCAGGCACCCCTGATTTTTTTTTTTTTAAGTGCAAAAGAAA